TTTGTGTTATGCGGGCCTCTCACTGTTATGGCCTCTCCCGTCGCAGAGCACAGGCTCCGGACGCGCAGGCTCAGCGGCCATGGCTCAGGGGCCCAGCCGCTCTGCGGCATGTGGGATCTTCCCGGACCAGGGCACGAACCCGTGTCCCCTGCATTGGCAGGCAGACTCTCAACCACTACGCCACCAGGGAAGCCCTCTGTGGGAATTCTTGAGGGCTAAGAAACAAGATATGGTTCAAAAGCAGCATCAGTTAGTCCTGGGCTTAATGTGGGCAGTCTGAGGGCATTCCTCCATCAAATACCATCCAATAGGAGTTTCTGTGATTTTTAAAATATTCTATATCCACATTGCCCAGTATCGTAGCCACTAGTCATATATGGCTGTTGAACCCTTGCAACTGAAACATGGCTAGTAAGAGTAAGGAAGTAGATTTTTAATTTCAATTAAATTTAAGTTGAATAACCGTGTCTAGACTGTCTACATTTGTGGCTTAAAGGTTTATTCTTTCCTTAATTGTGGGAAGTATATAATATAAAGAAAACTGATAAAATTCTGTTTCCATTCTTTAAAATAGATATACTTAAGTGCGGTCAGAAGGAGGAGAGAGAAAGAAAATCCTGGCATACTTTTTTTGCATCAAAAGAACTAAAGGAAAATGAATTCTCATAGATTTATGAGGATCCACCTTTACGAACACCATGACTCATTAAAAGTATGGCAACCACTGTTTGAGAATCACTGGGATAGAAATGTTTAGGGCCCAGCAAGTTCTAAATTATATGATGTCTATGACTTACAGCTAGGATGGTTAGGAAAAATAGTTCAGGAAATAAAGATATGAACCAGGGCCGTGGCAGAGTCCAGAAAGGAACAAATACACGAGGGAGAATGTGAAATTGTAAAACAAATTTCATCATCATAAGATGAAATGAGCCATTAGTGAATTGAGCTCAGTGATAAAAAGATATTTCCAGTCCATAAAAAGGGTCTTCTTAGAGCATAATTCAATCAATGAAATGAATGAAGTTTCAAAAAGTGATGAGTCGCACAGTTGTGTTACAGATCCTCCTGAGTGGGTCCCCAACAAAGGTCCTTCTGTCCAGTGTCCTTCGAGCCAACCAAGTTTGGGTTAGGAGCAAAGGAAAGCTTTATTCTCTGATCAGATAACGGAGAGATGGGAGCTCGCTCTAGAGCAGAGGTCCACAATCCCCCCTCCACCCCGGACCCCCAGTCTGTGGAACAATTTTCTTCCAGGAAACCAGTCCTTGGGGACCGCTGCTCTACAGCACAGGGCTCTCCCGACAGGCTGGCAGGGAGGGAAGGGGGCGGGGTTCTTGCTGGGTGGTTGCACCTGTGCTGCTCAGGCTCCTGATCAAGGTGCCAGGTGCAACATCTCTGCTCGCGGCCCGCTGCTGCCATCTTGGATTAAGTGTCATGCGTGGCTACTGCACCCCGACACCGAGCTTCGGTGTAGGCTCAGCCGTTTCCTTTCTCAGGAGGAACTCTGGTCTGAAGGGCCGGGTGCGAGGCCTCTGCGCACTGCCCCCTGGGAGCGAGTGAGACTAGACTAAACACCCAGGAAAAGAGGAAAAAAAAAAGGTTAGACTTTATTGTATTACCCAGTCCCCTTAGAATTGTTAATGGGTTTTGCCGGTGACAGTTGTGCTTTGTGTGTTTTCCAAAAGGAGGGTATTTATTTGATTCCTTGGATAATTTGATAATTTTGAATTACTCAGTCTTTTAGTATTTTCATAAGTTCTAAGTGTGGTTTATCTTTTCCTTCTAGAAAAGTGGGAGAAAAGAGTTTATATTTGTTTATAATAGTAAGTTGGGGGTGGGTGCTATTAGAGATCAATGGATCTCCCTTAAAAAATGCTATAGTCTTAATGAAATAAAAATAACTGTTCTTGGATTTCCGTTGTTTTACTTGGCCACTTTAAATGGTCAATAACTTATTAAGGGAGTTTACAAAGCTACATTTGGAGGAGGCGTGGATAGAAGCCTAACTATTGTTGTGATTTGTATTTTTTCCTTTTTTCCTCTTATGGGAGCAGTATTTATTCTGTTTTATCATCAGCACCACTGTGCCCTTTAGAAGGCAGTAGCAGAAATGTAAAGGATTCAACACTGCAGTAGCCATAGGGCTTAGGGGGATCCTGACACCTGTGAAACTCCCAGGTCTGTGCATCCCCTCCGGCGGCCCCATGACCTCCCACACGCACTGAGCCCCTCGGCTTTAAGCTAGGGAATGTTAGAAGTGTTCCACTGAAGGCCCTGCCTACTTTTTTTCCAGATGGGCTTTTCCTCTGGCTTTGTATTAGTCATTTATTGAATAAATAGATCTTGAGTGCCTCCTGTATACCATTTACTTTTGTTAGATCCAGCTCTCAATCCTGTCTCTCTTTAAATCAATGTGATGGAAATTCTTTAGAACTTTTGTCATATGAATGGACTTTTGCCTCTTTTCCAGTTTAAATATAAACTTCCACTATTTTTACAGTTATTTATGCTTTTCACTGGGAATTTTAAATGAGTGGGAAATTAAATAAATGAATTTCTAATATCAACCTTAGTAAGAAGATACCAGTAATTAACCTTAAGGATATTGAATTCAATATAATATTAAATAACATACACAGAGGGAAAGTGAGAATTAGGTTTTGGAAGAAAAGAAAAGATGTATTTCCAACTGGTCCATCAAGACTTTTCAATTCTCTCTGAATCCGCATGGCCCTTCTTACCTATTGTTATAATCAGCCTGTGTGTAGGACGTTTGTGTAGGAGGGGAGTGGACTGCACAATTTGATTATAATCTCTTTAAGAATTAGGACTGTATCATTTAAAATTTAGCATTCATTAGATATTCATTGATTCACTTGTGTACTTAGTATTGATAAAAGTTAGATGGTTTAGCATTATATGCCAGTAAACAGAGAGGGAGCTCAGTGCTAGAAATCTCGAATTGATTTCTTTTGCAGTTTTTCAATTCCACAAATCGTAAAGGGTTCTTGGTGAATGTATTTGCTTGGGAATCCAACTGTTACTCTCTACCAATACATAGTAAATTTTAAAACTATGTAATTTGATCAATAATTGTTTTTTCTTCATCTAAAAACATAGCTCTTGATATTATATGATCCAATGCATAAGTAATCATGTATATTTGTCTAAATATATTACAAATTTTTATTTTTAGTTAAAAGTTACCATTTAGTTAAAAGTTACCATTTAACTACCATTTATTTTAGTTAAAAGTTACAATTGTTTGACTGTAAAGATCCCTCATGATCTACAGAACTCTGAGTATTTTGCTTCTCTTTTTCCAGGCCCTGCTTTTATCTAATGTTTCTAGAAAAAAGTTTTCCACTGGGGAAATTATTAACTTGATGTCAGCAGATGCCCAGCAGCTCATGGACTTGACCGCAAACATCAATCTCCTTTGGTCAGGTCCTTTTCAAATCCTGATGGCCATATCATTCCTTTGGCAAGAGCTGGGTCCAGCAGTGTTAGCAGGGGTAGCAGTCCTTGTGTTTGTTATCCCAATGAATGCTTTAGTTGCAAATAGAATGAAAAAGCTGAAGGTAAGAATATGATTGCGTCAAGTTACATGTGTCCAACAGTACTTATTACTTTAATATACTTAGGTGCTGAAAATTTATGCCTTCTTTTATATTTTTCTGAATTTTTCAAATAATTACCAAAAAGATTAGGCTTTAAAGATGAGAAATAGAAAATAACATATGATTATAAAATAATTACGAATTACTAAACACACTAGTATTTAGAATAACAGGTTTTTCAGTGAATACTTTTAAACTAATTTTTAAAAAATATTCTGGATTTTATATAATTGTAAGTCAAATTTTTAGGAATGGACTTACATTTTTTTTTTTTTTTTTTTTTTTTGCGGCACTCAGGCCTCTCACTGTTGTGACCTCTCCCGTTGCGGAGCACAGGCTCCGGACGCGCAGGCTCAGCGGCCATGGCTCACGTGCCCAGCCGCTCCGCAGCACGTGGGATCTTCCCGGACCGGGGCACGAACCCGTGTCCCCTGCATCGGCAGGCGGACTCTCAGCCACTGAGCCACCAGGGAAGCCCTGGACTTACATTTTTAGGACCTTAATCTAGAGCCCTAAGACATCCAAAGAGACTCCAATATTATATACAAATATTCCAAACAGAAAATACGCTTTAATCATACAAACAATATTAAGGATATTAACTTGTAAATGTGTACTTTGTTAGATATACAAATACTTATTATTATATATAAAATAATTGTGGCAGTATTATTGGAGGAAACCCTTAAGAAGCAATACCTAAACAATAATAAGTATAAAATAATATAAATATTAAGCATTTGAATAAATGTATAATACTTATATAATGTTTGCAAAAAAACCAGTATTTGAAAATATACATTTTAATCACTCTAATTTCCAAAGTACTAATAACACTCAAGATAGTACACTTAAAATATAGAAACCTTTATTTATATATATATATAATTGATAGAGTTTGGGGAATTTTATCCCATTTTAATAGAATATGGATATTATTTTATCATTCCATTATAACTATTATCTTTTCTACTCTTGGAAAATGTACACCTTGTTTTTATCCTGGCTACTTTCAAGTTTATAATGTCTATTTATAACTATTTTCTAACATTATCAACAGAATAATATTGCATGCACATTATAAGATGGTTTTATATAAAATATTATACAAAATAGAGGAAATACATTGTATTTTAAAAAATAGCTATGGTCATGTCAATTAAAGTATTAGCAACTCTCGTCAAATATAATTTCATTTTCTTTCCCTTACCTAGAAAAGCCAAACGAAGAACAAAGACAAACAGATAAAACTGCTCAATGAAATCTTACATGGAATTAAGGTAATATAAAAAGAGCATACCTTTAATTTAACTATTTAGAATATAGCAATGAGTTAAACAATAAATGAATTTTTTAGCCTTCTCAATATCAAAGTAATGATATAAGTATAATTTTTGAGGGAATATTTTAGATTTCAGATGTATAGGAATTCTTATTGTTGAAATAACATTTAAATAAAGCCAAGTAAAATGCAGGTTTTTTTTTTTTTTTTGATTCTCAACCAACAACTAACACAAATATCCCAAAAGATACAAAATATTACTTGTTTCAAGGGTAGAAGTGATGGGATGAAGCAGGGCAGAGTGACAATACCATTTTCATCAGTGTGAAGGCAGATTTATAGGGGGTTCTTTTACTCAGAATAGCAATGATCATACAAATGGTATTCTATGAAAGGTGTGTTACAGATTATTTGTTTCCTAGAAAATCTACCCCCACTCCACACCACTAACATTTTCTCTGTGATAAAATGAGTGAAACCTTTTGAACTTTTGTATAGAGATCTTCCTGAATTTACAATGGGGCTATATCCTGATAAACCCATCACAAGCTGAAAATATCCTTAAGTTGAAAATGCATTTAATACACCTAACATACTGAATATCATAGCTTAGCCTAGCCTAAATATACTCAGATCACTTACATTAGACTACAGTTGGGCAAAATCATCTAACACAGAGCCTATTTTATAATAAGGTGTTGAAAAGTTCATTAATTTATTGAATACTGTACTGAAAGTGAAAAACAGAATGGTAGTATGGTTACAGAAGGGTTGCAAGTGTATTCGTTGTTTACCCTCTGGACTGTGTGGCTGCCCAGCATCACAACAGAGTAGTATACCACATATTACTAACCCGGGAAAAGATCAAAATCCAAAATTGGAGGTGCAGTTTCCATTGAATGAGCATTGCTTTTGCACCATCCTAAAGTTGAAAAATCCTAAATTGAATCATTGTAAATTGGAGACCTTCTGTATATAATTTCAAATCCTACTGCACTTGGATTATAGCTTACCAGATTTTTCTAAAGCACAAAATTTGCAGAGTTCACATGGAATTTCCTTCTAACATTTAAAAATGCATAGGACGTTCCCTCTGTCTGGTGCATCTATCATTATATACACAGAATAAACCCATTATATGTACCCATTGATTCACCTTAGAATCAATAAATGATGTACTGTATTGTGCTGTGTAGAATTTTTACAAAAATATAAATTACTGAAGTGAAAGACATTGTTAGATTGAAGATACCTTGAAAGGAGACTATTATCCATTTAATCATCTGAACTTTAGAACAGCAATAAGTAACTCTGAAATTTAACTCAGATTATTCAATAAGGTCACACATCCCCAAAGTATATGATCCAGATGCATCTTGCACCTCTTGGTGGGTTAACTGAGAGCTCCTGCATCCATTAGAAAGTAGAGTGATGTATGTTCATAGGTTTTGACTATTGATATTCATAAAAGGAAATTTGTATTATCAGTAGAACTAGGACAGTGTAGATAAAATAAAAGAAAATTTCCTCAAGATCTAAACAAAGTTCAAGATTTAAAATAGCAGTCCCAGTAGTAAATACACTAGAATATTGGTAGAGGTCCAAGTTGCAATCAATTAGTATAGTTTAAAGGTGTGAGCAGTTTGCATCCTTGGAGTCTGAAAACAGGTGTCATAGAGCCTCTATTTGATAATGATAATATTTTAGCATTTATTGAACATTTTCTATGTGTCATGAACTGTGCCTATCACTTTATATCTGTTTCCTCATATAATTCTTATAAACCTCAAGAAAAAGATTTCTCATCTTCATTTTACAAATAAGGAAACAAAGTATCTGAGCAGGTAAGGGTCAGGTCTAAGTTCACAGACCTGGTGAGAGATTATATTAGGGATCTCCAGAGAACCAGGAATAATAGGACAGATAGCTAGCTAGCTAGCTAGATAGATAGATAAAGATTTATTTTAAGGAATTGGCTTATGATTATGGGAGCTGGCAAGTGTGAAATCTGTTGAGCAGCCTGGAAATTCCAGCAGGAGTTGATGTTGCCATCTTGAGTCTGGAGGCAGAATTCCTTCCTTCTCAGGGAGCCTCAGTTTTTTCTCTTAATGTCTTCAACTGATTGGATGAGGCCAACCCATTTAAAGGAGGGTAATCTGCTTTATTTAAAGTCTGATGATTTAAATGTTAATCAGACCTAAAAATTACCTTCACAGCAACATCTAGACTGGTGTTTAATCAAAGAACTGGGCAACATAACGTAGCCAAATTAACACATAAAATTAATCATCACAAAGAGATAGAGCTGGAATTTGAATGTAGGTCTATCTCACTCTAAAACATATGTGGTGGGCTTCCCTGGTGGCGCAGTGGTTGAGAGTCTGCCTGCCGAAGCAGGGGACACAGGTTCGTGCCCCGGTCTGGGAAGATCCCATATGCCGTGGAGTGGCTGGGCCCGTGAGCCATGGCCACTGAGCCTGCGCGTCCGGAGCCTGTGCTCCGCAACGGGAGAGGCCGCAACAGTGAGAGGCCCGCGTACCGCAAAAAAAAAAAAAAAAAAAAAAAAAAAAACATATGTGGTGAGCCATTGTATGATTCTGCTTCTGCATGTTTTCCATCTCAGAAAATAGTGTACAATCTCAGAACACCAGTAACCTTTCAGAAAATGGCTTGAAGTCCCAAGACATCAGTTTTCAAGAAATTGGGAGACCAAAGAGAGAAGCTTAGATATTTAGAAATGGGAAGAGAACAGAACTGAGAGTTGGACCAGCAGGAAAATTGACAGGATTAAGCTAGATAGAAACTGCTATGGAGCTCATTCCAGGAACTGGGATGTTGCCAAAATCTGGCTCAAGAATAAGCTACTGGAGGGTAAGAGAGACATAAGCCTGGGGAAATGGTGATTTCCTCCCCCGACCCACCCCAAAAAAACACAATTCAAGGAAGTGTTTTGACTCAGTTGAAAACAGGAGAAATTTTCTTTACTTTATAGGTAACATCTTTTTTTTTTTACCTACACAATTATGTGAGTGTGTGTATGTGTTATAGTGTGTGTATTTGTATGTGTGCATGTTTTTATTCCTTCTATGATATTGATTGTCAAATAGTCATTGTCTGACTTCTTCACAGATCCTTAAACTTTATGCATGGGAACCCTCCTATAAAAAGAAGATTATTGAAATTCGAGAACAGGAATTGGAAGTTCAAAAATCAGCTGGGTATCTTGCTGTATTTTCTATGCTGACTTTAACTTGCATTCCATTCTTTGTGAGTGTGTGTATTATTTCTTGTTTTGATTTTCAAATTTGATTTGCGGATTCACCTTCAAATTACCTGGAATTAAGATGTCCAAAGTGAAATCTTCTTTATCTGAATTTAAATTTAAAAAATATGCAGTCATTAACCTATGGAGATAAGAGAATGAAAGTTTAAAAGAAGGGGAAAATTTTTTTGGTGCATTCTCATTGGTCTGTATTTTTTATATATAATAAGATTTTACATCTTTGTAAATTTCTTATGGGTTGAACACATGCCATCCTCATTCTTAAAAAATATAACCTGTATTTCAGAGTTCCATTTCAGCTCTAAAATTTTTTGATTTTCATGAATAATCCCTTTTAAGCAAGACCCAAAGTCACACTACATAGAGTTGGGAAGGGAAGTTATCTAAACGTTTATTGAGTGTTTCTACTGTTTACCAGACAAGTTATATGCATTGCTTTATTTCATTCTTGAAATAATAAAGCATTACTTTTCTCATTTCACAAAAGGAAATGGAAATATTGATAGTTTGGAAACATCCTCAAAGTTATAGAATTAGTATTTGTAGGTGAATTGATATGAACTGAGGTCATTCTCCTTCTGTCACTTCATACAAATATTGGGAATCTCATGCTATTTAAAGAGTATAAATTGGGCTTCCCTGGTGGCGCAGTGGTTGAGAGTCCGCCTGCCGATGCAGGGGACACGGGTTTGTGCCTCGGCCCGGGAAGATCCCACATGCCGCGGAGTATCTAGGCCCGTGAGCCATGGCCGCTGAGCCTGCGCGTCCAGAGGCTGTGCTCCGCAATGGGAGAGGCCACAACAGTGAGAGGCCCGCGTACCGCAAAAAAAAAAAAAAAAAAAAGCTAAAGGATAAGAAAACTACATATACCTGAAGCATCAATTTTAACCAAAGTTACCACTCTCTGGTGATGGGGTCAGGGAACATTCTATATGTCTCCCCTGTTGTTAATTTAAAATATTATTATTTTTTATTCAAACAGACATAAGGGTATTATGAAACTAAAAGCAATATTTACATTTGGAATACTTTAGTAGAAATGTCCAAGAAACATTTGTTTAAGACCGTCCTATGTACATGATAAATAGTCAGTACATTCTCACGCATAAATGAACTTTTCTGCCTTTTCTAAATGAAACTTATGCTAGTAAATATAAATCTTATCAGTCATGATTTATTTATGCCTTCCTCAGTTAATACTAAGACACAGAGAAAGTATAATTATTGAATATGAGATAGAAGGTATGCACACGTTACTGGAAAAAATTTACATAAAACTTCTCCACTTTGAAAAAAGATGAACTACTATATGTTTTAAGTGGGAATAATTACTCTAGTGAAAATACGGTATGTCAAAGAAGGGAGCTAGACCACATGTTCATAGGATGTCGTTATCTAAGATACACAATTGTATGATCTGTACTAAACATTGATTTCATAACTTTCTGCAGTAGTACTGAATAGTACTGAAGTTTGGTAAACAGCAACAATAAAGGTTATTAAAATTTTCTTTCCTAATTTTGAGTCTCTAACTCATAATTGAATAATTGAAGATAATATAACGTATCTCTATTTTTAAGGTGTCCCTGGCAACATTTGGCGTCTATTTCTTACTGGACGAAGGCAACATTTTAACAGCCACTAAAGTGTTCACATCTATGTCTTTGTTTAATATTTTGAGGCTTCCTCTGTTTGATTTACCAATGGTGATCTCAGCTGTGGTCCAGGTACATCCAAAGTATCCTTAAACTGAGAATCATTTCTCTACTGAAATCTATGGTTTTGCATATTTCATTTCTTTGTCTTTTTTTAAAATTTCACTTTTTGTAGTTGCTTTACACTACTTTCAAAATTAACCTCCCTGAATTAATGAGCAATAGCGAACATTGTAGAATGGAAGGAGTCGTGTCTTCTTTGCCTGTGCTTCTCTTCTATAAAAATGACTTTTACGCGTCTTTTCAATAGAAAGTCAGTTGAAAATGACTTTTCAATATGTGATACTGTTTTCTTTGCTAAGTGTTAGTTTCTTTTATTTAGCTTTTTAAAATTTGGTGTTTGACGCTATGCCATTAAAGGGTTCATTTTCTGTTTTCAGCTGAAAAATTTTTAACTAGGTGCTTTGCACAGAGCTGGATCTGAATTTTCCCAGGGTTCAG